AGCCCAGCAGGTCGAGGCTGTGGTGGCTGGGAGCGGCCACTGCACTCCAGCCTGGGCAACGAAGTGAGACTCCAACTCAAAAAAAAAAAAAATTTACTTTGAAAATTTAGAGGCTTCCTTTTATATTTAAAGAGAGAAAAAAAAGAAAAAGCTAGGCTTAACTTCTTGATTGAAAAGTTTCAGTTACAATGAAGCCAGTGTTTACTTTATCCTTCTGTAGAACTTCCTAGCCCTGTCCAGTTTCCTTTTTTTTTTTTTAATTGTAGAGACGAGGGCTCGCCAAGTAGCCCGGGTAGGTCTCGAACTTGCGGGATCAGGCAATCCTCTCGCCTCAGCCTCCCAAAGTGCTGGGATTATAGGCTGAGACACCGAGCTCGGCGCCCTGTCCAGTTTGTACATATCAGTGTGATATCCGCTAAGAGGCTGACCGGTGCCTGGACCTGAAGAGTCTGCTCTGAAGGAAAAGCCACCACAGTCCTCCAGGGAGTCACTGGGAGCCACAGGCCCTTCTGCAGACAGCAGCCACTCCCAGGAAGACATTACTCCATCTCCACCTGGAAGTTATTTGTTAATAGAGTAATGACTCACATTCATTCCATTCCAAGGACCTCTGACACATTTAGACTGAGGTTCCACTTGTAGGAATCCAACACATAGCTTTTAGGAACACACAGACCGGTTAAGGTGAGGCATACTTTTCTATCTGGAATTTTTTGTGGCCATTCATGACTGATACTACATAAACTGTGATATGGGTATATTCCAGGATGATCAACGTAACATTAGCACAAAATCCCCATTGCCCAAAGAAACCTGATTGTAGCTTCATATTATTAAGTGAACACAGTTTCCCCGCAAACACTGTGTTGCCTTTATCGACTGAAACCCATGTCTGTACTTAGTCTTAAATATGGCTCCGATTGCCTACCTTTCAAAGTGCTGTTTCATTTGTTTACATGCATAGTACCTTCCATCTCTCAGGCTCTGTATCTTCATGACTTCAGAAAACGTTCCCTCTCCTATTTTGCCAACTGCTTTATACTCTATAAATAAAAATGATTACAAAAATAAAATTTCATTTTTGCATAAATGTTGTGTTAACTTCCAGACAGCAAATTTTTTTATCTGTAAGATACTTTAACAGCAGTATGTTGAGAACTGTTTCTCCTAGTTTTTGCAAGGTTTGGTGTTCCCCTCACTTTAGGAGAAGCTGGGCTGTGTGTTGGCAATGAAGCATCAGCTCCTCAATAAGGAATCCTAGCCAGCTATGAGCCACTCAGGGACCCCCACAGGCTTCAGAAAGCAGGATGGTGGTGGTGAGAAGCCTTCAGCAGAAGCGCAGGGACACGGTCTTGGCAGGGGGCAGACGCCATACTGCACTAGCAGCTCGAGTACTCTCCTGAAACTCACCCTCCCTGGTTCTACAGAGGGCCCGGTTGATCTGCAGCAGTTTCCTGATTCTTGTATTTCTCAGTTTTCCAAAAGCAACAGCAGCTGTCCCTGGCTTTGCTGCCACCACCATCACCCCCAGCCCCGATAGTGCTTTTGTAAGCCTCTGATTCACTATATTAAATGCCTTCCTGCTTGAAATACCTAGAGGAGTTTCTGTTTTCCTGACTCAAGCCTGACTGGCACCCTGGAGTGGGATGCTACACTGAAGGAAACCTCCAATCTGTGGGTGGGGTCTAGCAGTCAGGTGGATCGTAGGTGGAATGCTAGAGGACCTGGTGTATCAGGACAAAATAATGCCCACGATGAATGATTGACTGCAGTCACCTCTGTCTCTCGTGGACCAAGTGTCACCGTGCCTGCCAGCCCAAGGAGAGTGCTGGAAGAGGCCGAGAGACAAGCGTGTTGATTACCACTGACTGCCTCGGCAAGACGCTTCAAGACAAAAACAAGTGCACGTAAGAATTGCTACTTGTGGCTCAGCCTGTAATCCCGTGGCTTGGGAGGCTGAGGTGAGTGGATTGCCTGAGCCCGCGGGTTCAAGACCCGCCTGGGCAACTGGGTGAGACTTCATCTCTACAATAAATTAAAAAAAAAAATTAGCCGGGTATGGTAGCGCGCGCCTGTAATTCCAGCTACTTGGAAGGCTGAGGCGGAAGGATCGCCGGAGCCCCAGCAGGTCGAGGCTGTGGTGGCCGGGAGCGGCCACTGCACTCCAGTCTGGGCGACAGAGTGAGACTCCAACTCAAAAAAAAAAAAAGAATTGCTACTTGAAGTAGAAATGGAAGGAATAAGTAAAATCCAGACAGCAAACATCTTACTGGGTAGAAAAAATTTCTACAGCTCAAATAATAATAGGAAAGTAAGACTGCAAAAATCTGCCAGGCGCGTTGTGGCTCACACCTGTAATCCCAGCACTTAGGGAGGTGGAGGCTAGAGGATTGCCTGAGCCCACAGGTTTGAGACCAGTCAGGGTAACATGGCGAGACCTCATCTCTACTATAAATAAAAAAATTAGCCTGGTGTGATGGCACACAATGTAGTTACAGCTACTTAAAAGGTTGAGGTGGGGCTGGGCTTGGTGGCTCAGCCTGTAATCCCAGCACTTTGGGAGGCCGAGGCGAGTGGATTGCCTGAGCCCGCAGGTTCGAGATCAGCCCGGGCAACTTGGCGAGACATCATCTCTACAATAAATAAAAAATTAACCAGACATGGTAGCGTGCACCTGTAGTTCAGCTACTTGAAGGGCTGAGATAGAAGGATCACTGGAGTCCCGCAGATCGATACTGGAGTGGCCATGAGTGTACCACTGCACTCCAGCCTGGGTGACAGCATGAGGCTCTGACTCAAAAAAAAAAAAAAAAAAAAAAAAGACTGCAAAAGCTGTGCAGAGAGCGATCTGTGGGCTGGCCTTGAACGAATGCCTCAGACCAGCAGCACAGATCACAGGAAGGCAGTTTCTGCCCCCACTATCTCCAAGCAGTTTTTTCAGAAAGCTTCAAGGAAGCTCCCTTAAACTGGGACCAAGATGCATGAGAGAGAGACCTCAAAGAAATAAGGAAGACTTTAGAGCTATGACTAGAAGACAACTTTGAGTGTGGTACTAATCAGAAGCAAACATATCGGAAATCTTTAAACATCACTTGTATTCCTGCAGAAATAAGTCTGAATTAAAAACTAAAACTAAAACAAACCCTTCACTTCAGGCACCTAACTCACATCAGCCCAAAGCAGGCTTTTTTTATTTTTATTTTTTTTTTAAGAGATGGGATCTGCCTGCATTGCCCAGGCTGGCCTCAAGCTATTGGGTGCAAGGGAACCTCCAAGTTCAGCTTCCCAATTAACCTAGGACAACAGGTATCTCAGCCTCCCAAATAGTCTGTGACACAGCCAATTCACAGGCTTTGAAAACTGTGCAGCAATGGCCAGGTGTGGTGGCTCATGCCTGTAATCCTAGCAATTTGGAAGGCTGAGGAAGGAGCATTGCTTCAGTCCAGGGCCAGCCTAGGCAACATAATGAGACCTCCTCTCTACAAAAAAACCAAATAATTAGCCAGGCATGGTGGCAAACACCTGTAGTCCAAGCTACTCAGGAGGCCCAGGATGGAAGGATCGCCCAAGTCCAAGAGGTTGAGCTATGATTGACCCACTGCATTCCACACTGGGCAATAGAGACTCCAACTCAAAAAAAAAAAAAATTGGCTGGGCTGGGTGGCTCAGCCTGTAATCCCATCACTTTGGGAGGCCGAGGTGAGTGGATTGCCTGAGCCCGTGGGTAACTTGGCGAGACCTCGTCTCTACAATAAAATAAAAAATAGCCAGATGTGGTAGTACACGTCTGTAGTTCCAGGTACTCAAAAGGCTGAGGTGGAAGGATCGCTGGAGCCCAGAAGGTCAACGCTGAGGTGGCCGTGAGCGTGTGTGCCACTGCATTCCAGCCTGGGCGAAGGAGTGAGCCTCCAACTCAAAAAAAAAAAAAAAAAAGTCAGCTATTCAACAAGCATTCAGTGACTTTATTTATAAAAATTCAGTTTAGCCGGGCGCGGTGGCTCAGCCTGTAATCCCACGCTTTGGGAGGCTGAGGTGAGTGGATTGCCTGAGCCCATGGGTTCGAGACCCGCCTGGGCAACTTAGCGAGACCTCATCTCTACAATAAATAAAAAAAATTAGTTGGGCGTGGTAGCACGCGCCTGTAGTTCCAGCTACTTGGAAGACTGAGGTGGAAGGATCGCCAGAGCCCAGCAAGTCGAGGCTGCGGTGGCCAGGAGTGTGCTACTGCACTCCAGTCTGGACGACAGAGTGAGACTCCAACTCAAAGAAAAATTCAGTTTACACAGAATTTCTCTGAACATATTCATATTCAAGACTTTACATGCAAGTTACTAAATTAGTGTGTTACTGTTTCAAAGATGCTGGCAGAAGACACAAGCCTCATTGATCAGAAGCAAAGGACTTTATTACTCATGGTACAGTAAGGTGTATGAGCATCAGTATACTTAATTGGTTTCTCTTGCTCCAAAGTCCCATGAGGGTAACATGACAGGCCCAGATGACACTTATACAATGGATTACTTTATAGAAGAGGAACACAGGGCCAAGGGCCCAGCACTTTTTGAACAAGTGTTAACTATTGTAGCAAGCAGCAAACAAGATGGATAAACCTTGTCATTCAGGAGGAACATTTGGAGGAGTCAGAGTTCACAGCAAACTGCTTTTCCCAACAGTACATCATAGTGTTAATTCTTTACTAATATGGAGAACTTGATATGGTATTCTTACTGCCAAATATTCATGTATAGGCAATATTGATTTTAAAGCTACTTTTCACTCCTATTCAAAATAACAATTTTCAGTCAGGCTGTCATTAAGAACAACAAAACAATTCCCAATTCTCAGTGTACACTTTCAAATATCATATCTTCAGGCCATATAAAATAAGAAAATCCTATTTGTAATCACATATTTGTAGAACTTGAAGAAAACACTTTTCCCCTAAAACAGGATCTAACTATGCTATTACCATTCAAAATATTAACACCACGTATCACCACCATAGTGGAGTAATTGCCACAGATGAAATAAGGACTTACAATTATTATGCATCTGAGCTCCAGCACTTGAAGATAACACATTTGTGTTGTTTAGAGCTACTGAGTTTGTGACAATTTGGTACAGCAGCAATAGAAAACTAATACAGACCAGCACATGGCACACTCCTGTAATCCCAGCACTTTGGGAGGTGAAAGTGGGAGGATCCCTTGAGCCCAGGAGTTTGAGATCAGCCTGGGCAACATAGCAAGACCTCATCTCTACCAAAAAAATTTAAAAATTAGCTGGGCATGGAGGCACGTACCTGTATTCCTAGCTACTCAGGAGGCTGAGGTGGAAGGATCACCTGAGTCCAAGAGGTTGAGGCTGCAGTGAGCCGTGATTGTGACACATATTCCAGCCTGAACAACACAGTGAGACTTTGACTCAAAAAAAAAAGGGGCTGGGCTCGGTGGCTCAGCCTGTAATCCCACGCTTTGGGAGGCTGAGGTGAGTGGATTGCCTGAGCCTGCGGGTTCGAGACCTGCCTGGGCAACTTGGCGAGACCTCATCTCTACAATAAATCAAAAATTAGCCAGGCGTGGTAGCACACGCCTGTAGTTCCAGCTACTTGGAAGGCTGAGGCAGAGGGATCACCAGAGGCCAGGAGGTCAACGCTGGGGTGACCGTGAGTGTGCCACTGCACTCCAGCCTGGGTAACAGAGAGACTCTGACTCAAAAAAAAAAGAGCTGGGCTCAGTGGCTCAGCCTGTAATCCCGCGCTTTGGGAGGCTGAGGTGAGTGGATTGCCTGAGCCTGCGGGTTCAAGACCCACCTGGGCAATTTGGTGAGACCTCATCTCTACAATAAATCAAAAATTAGCCGGGTGTGGCAGCGTGTGTCTGTAGTTCCAGCTACTTGGAAGGCTGAGGCGGAAGGATCGCCGGAGCCCAGCAGGTGAGGCTGCGGTGGCCGGCAGCAGCCACTGCACACTCCAGTCTGAGCGACAGAGTGAGACTCCAACTCAAAAAAAAAAAGAAAAAAGAAAGAAGAAAGAAACAAAACA